CATACTGCTTGATTATACACGACTGCATCGTGGAATACAACCCGTTGACGAGCATTGTTAGAAAAATTATATAGATGTGAAAAAATAATATTGTAAACTAATATGATTTTGAAAATATATATATGTCCTATCATAAAAAATGTTCTCTCTTCCCCCTGAACAAACCGCTAACCGAGTAGCTACAATAAGAAATAACTATAATTTTTAGAGAAATTTTGGATAGGATTGTGGGTATTTAAAAAAAATGTATATTAATGTATGTTTTCCTAAATCCTTTTTTATTCAAATTTCGAAATATGATCAACATCAATATATAATCTTCTTCTTCTTCTTCTTTCGCCGACGCGCCGTTGATGGCAATCGCAAGCCTCCTCCTCCTCCTCCTCCTCCTCCTCTTCAGAATGACGCTCTTAATTTAAAAAAAATCATTATTAAAAAATAAATTTTAATTTCTTTAAAATAACAATTGTTATACACACCTCTTCTCATCCATGGTATAATCGTAGATACTGCACTCGTCCACACCGCTTCTTGATGGTGGTGGTGATATTGAAATGATTGTAGGATGAACACCGATCGGCACATTGCCACAATTTTCCCCCAGTACATATGGGCAATTTCTCGACCAGAAGTGATGCTCCGACATGGCCTTGTCGTTATGCTGCCACCGATGCAATTCGATGTCGCAAGCTCCTCCGGCTGAATATATTCAATTGGCCAAAATTCAAAACTTCGAAGCCTATCTTCCTCGCGACGATAATCCATCATTATCTCTTTCTGCAAAATAGGTACCATGGAAATGAAAAAATAATAGTAACTAAAAAAGGANCTTTCTGCAAAAAAGGTACCATGGAAATGAAAAGATCATAGTAACTAAAAAAGGAAAAAATACGTTACTTTCCATGAACTACTTCCAAAAGACGCGCTCATCGCTGAGGGCACAGTGATACTGAGCTGTTGATGGCAATCGCAAGCCTCCTCCTCCTCCTCCTCCTCCTCTTCAGGAAGACGCTGTTAATTAAAAAAATAATCATTATTAAAAATAAATTTTAATTTTTAAATAACAATTATTATACATACCTCTTCTCATCCATCGTATCAGCATCGATCGGCACGTTGCCACCAAAAAAATGATGATCCGACATGCGCACAGGCTTACGTCGTTTTCTCTCTTTCTACAAAGAAGACACCATAGAAATGAAAAAATAATTGTAAAAAAGNTTTTCGCTCTCTTTCTGCAAAAAAGACACCATAGAAATGAAAAATAATAGTAACTAAAAAAAAGGAAAAAAATACGTTACCTTCCATGAACCACTTCTGAAAGACGCACACCTCACTGATGACACAGTAATACTGAACCGTTGATGGCAAACGTAAGCCTCCTCCTCATCAGGATGATGCTCTTAATTCATCCATCGTATCAGCACCGATCGGCACGTTGTTACAATTTTTTCTCCCGAGGACATAACCTCGACCAAAAAAAATTCGCACAGGCTTACGTTTTTCGCTCTCTTTCCGCAAAAAAGGCACCATAAAAATGAAAAATAATTGTAAAAAAAAAAAATAAAAAAATTACCTTGCAGCTACCATTTGCGAAAGATTCGTACCTCGCTGAGGAGTGCACACAGGCTTACGTTTTTCGCTCTATTCCTGCAAAAAGGCACCATAGAAATGAAAATAATTGTAAAAAATAAAAAATAAAGAATAAATAAATAAAAAATTACCTTGCAAGTACCATTTGCGAAAGATTCGCACCTCACTGAGGGTACAGTGATATTGCGGTGCCTTCCGCTTCGAGTTTGAATTAGACGTCCAACAATGAAGCCTGCATGGTGGGTCTATTGACCCATACTTCGGGTCCGCGATTAAAGATTCGAATTTAGGGCAGCCAAAAGATTCTAAATTTACATGTCGTACGCCAATTTCGCGCAATAAATCCCTCTCAATATGACCCCCCTTATACGCGATTACGGGATCCTTGAAATCGCGAATTAAAAGTTTAATTAATGTTGAAATATCTATCTGATTATAATTCTTTCGCCCCGAAAAATTTTTGAAAGGAATCCCATGAATGAAGTTCGTGACGTACCATGCAGATTTCCTGTCAGCATCGCTCAAATCACTGTATTGAACGTCTAACTCAAACTCGTAGCGGGCAGCGTAGCCTGTGTGCACGTTCGCGATCGCCATTTCTTTGCAAACAAATTTTTTATGCATATTAAATCCATCCATATCAATTATAAAGTCCACTTTTGACATACTTAAAAATATTTTTCACTAGAAGGTGCTTGTTCACTTTTTCACAACGATTTGATTTGCTCCGCATTAGACTTCGTCTATTTATTAACATGCACACATGCACTTCTCTCACATCGTTATAATCCATCTCACTCTCTCTCTCCAAAACGATAAAGTAGAAAAATACATCTCTCCATCCATATCGTTGCAAGATAGAGAAACTGCTGCAAAAGAGAATGCGGTCCAAGAGAAAAAAACCGAGATAAAAAAACCTTACTTTAATCAATCTCAACGAGACCAAAATCCTGATATCGCTTCGCAAGCGACTTCCCGGGTAAAGCAACCGCGAGTCTCTCCGGATACAAAACCACAAACTTCTTCAACGTTGCAAACGATTGCAACAATGACACGTTCAAATTCCATATCAATTCCCAACTCAGTAGCGAATAAAATGTTCGCTGCAAAGGGAAAAGCAAATATGCAAAAAAACAGTAAACGAGAGAGAGAGAAAAATATCTCTCTCTGTCCACATCGTTACTGCAAAGAAAAAACCGGGGATAAGGAGACTTCCAAAATCACTAATCATGGAAAGGATTTGACAACAAAACGTTGCAAGGTGGAAAAAATACATCTCTCTCTCTGTCCGCATCGTTTTTGCAAGAGAGAGAACAACCGCTGCATCCTCCCCTCTCTCTCTCTCTCTCTCTCTCGCTCTCTACAATATTATACCGAGACAAAAAACCTTACTTTAATAAATCTAATAAACGAGATCAAAATCACCGATATCGCTTCGCAAGCGCGGGTAAAGCATCCGAGGGCCTCTCCGGATACAAAACCGCAAACTTCTACATATGCATGGCGCCTCACTTCAAAATACTTCCTCAACGCGCGAGAAAATTCACATCGTTTGCAAGAGAGAGAGAACAA